ACATCTATATTTGAAATTGTCAAACCCTAAACTTCATTGATTGTCATAGCAAAAGTTAAGTTCAAAGGAAAACTTTTTTTTTTTTTAGTTTGAAAAATCACTGATAGAATATATTTTAATTTTAATTAAAATAAATTCTATCAAAAATCTTTTTTAAATGTAATTATTTTTTTGTAAATGTAAGTACTTTTTTGTTATATGTGTTTAATTTTATCTATCTAAATACTTTTTGGTTCAAAAAATATTTAGGGACTTAATTGTTCAAAATATGAATGTTTATTGGGGGTTTTTTTCGGATTTTTTTTCATTATTTTACCACTTTAACTAGTTGTACAAGTCATATGAATGTATCCAACAGGTTTTAGAAATGTCCAAGAAGTTATGTAACATGTTTTAGATTGTCCAAGGACTTATTTGTTCCAAAAATTGTCCAATGAGTTATTTAACATGTTTTAAATTGTCCAAGGACTTATTTGTTCCAAAAAAATTGTCCAAGGAGTTATTTAACATGTTTTGAAATGTCCAAGGACTTATTTAATCCAAAAAATTGTCTAAAGACTTAATCATTCCAAACACTAAAGTCCATTGGGTTTTTTTAGACTTTTCCCCTAAACAAATAAAAAAGACTGAACATTTGGTACTTTACCCGAAATAAAATTAAGGCGGATTTTGTTGCATTCTGATATATTTTGCTCGTTAAAATATGCATAAATTGAGAAAAACTTACTATGTTCCAACAATTCGATTAGTGTTTACGTCAATTTGATCCACTCCAATGATTCTCGCAAGACCAAAATCTGAAATCTTAGCGTTCATATCATCATCTAGCAAGATATTGCTAACTTTTAGATCACGATGAATGATTCTTAGCCGCGAATCTTCATGTAAATAAAGCATTCCTCTTGCAATCCCTCCGATGATTTTATAACGTTTTGGCCAATCTAAGTGCCCGCATCTGTTTCGATCTGTAATCAAGAAATCCGCATTAGATTCAGTTGTAACGTTCAACAACGAACTTTAAAAATAACTTGAATCAATACAACAATATTCGTTTTATAGGACGCCTAAAATATCTAAGAGTCCTAATAAAATGATTTATAGGACTTAAATTTATAGGACCAAACCAAAAATCGTCCTATCTAAAAGTGTTACAATAGTTTTATATGACGTTTTTAGGCATTTTCACAAGTTTTTAGGACGTTTTTAAAATAGTGTCTTATTAACTATTTTATACGACACTATTTTTAAAAAAATGTCTTATAAAAAGATGGGTTCGTAGTACACTTCTAAAAAATGTCATAAAAAATAGCTCATGGAACACTTTACTTTAAAAATGTTATCAAAAACCTGTTAAAACGCTTAAAAAACATCTTATAAACCTGTTGTAACGCTTTTAAATATGATGTTTTATAGTTTGGTCCTATAAACTTATATTCTATAAAGCATTCTATTAGGACGCTTAGACATCTTAAGGTGTTCTATAAAACCAAATTTGTTGTAGTGATTTTTGCATACCGAAAAGAAAATAGTCGAGGCTTTTGTTGGATACGTATTCATAAATCAGTAATTTCTCGTCTTCATCGAGGCAAAACCCTAAAAGCCTCACGAGATTTCGATGTTGAAGTTTCACCATCAAAATGACTTCATTTATAAACTCTTGTGAACCTTGGCCAGACGACTTTGATAATCTTTTTACAGCGATCTCCATTCCGTTCGCAAGAACACCCTGTAAAATATTTTATATTCGGTAAATACGTATGAAATCGTTTGTAAGTTCTTGGACTATATATACGTAACGATGTTGATCTAGATTTAATTTATTTTGATTATTGATATAACCATTTTCTTAGTAAAATGTCCCCAACCAAAAAAGCTTCGTCCCAATATAAATGTCCATATTCCTATTTATGGTTGTCCTAAAATAAGAGTCTAGTTTCAAAAATAGATAACTAAATTTCCAAATCTACCCTTATTTGACTTAATAAGATAGATGAATTAACGGGAAATTCTCCACAATAGTCATTCCTGACTCCCCAATTCATTTTATAGCTGTTTTTCTACTCAAGTTGTTAAATTGTTACTTAGAGCCTGTTTGATAGTTACCGAATGATTTGGTTCAGTGATTAAGTGATCAGAATTATTAAGAGCCTCTCACGATATAATGCAAAATGAAATATAATTGTTTGATAATTATTTACAATGGATTTTGGGTGCTGAACAGTTAAGGGAGGTCCAGGATATAAAATCATTCAAAGGATTTTAGAACCATTAAGAAAGAGATCTTTTTTTTTTGGCCAAACAAGATTCACCTTTTAACGATTCAGATATTGCCTCTTAATGGAACTATTAAGTGGTAAACAAACAATCTCTTACAAAAATCTTGACTTTTTCAATCAATTATGTGAAAAGACACTTATAAAGTGAATCGGAGGGGATAAACAATGGCTATTTTTGACAATTTCTTTAAATTAAATAAGGATAAAGTTATCAAGAGATTACCTAAAGAGGGTTGAGTTTATGTGAGAGCAGCCTTTTTTCGTGAAATCATTTTTTTACACTTGAATCTTTACATCAAAACGTTGTGAAGGTAAAGAAAAGTCGAACCTTCACAGCAAAAACATTGTGAAGATTAGCGTTTTGCTGTGAAGTTTCAAGTGTAAAAAATGGTCTTACGGATCTTACGAAAACAAACTAGTCTCAGATGATCTCAAATCCACCTATATATTAAATATATAATAGCTATGCATGTGGAAAAACTGTCGACCAAATCATTTTTGAAACGAGGAGACTATTAAAATACTACTTACAAATTTTTTGAAAATGGGGCGCATGGCCCCCACCATCTTTCCACCCATATGGTAATGGAACCGGCCACCCATAGAGGAAAAGTCAGCTATTTTCTCTATTCCAGTCTAATTTATAAATATAAAATATAAAATATAAATATAAAAATAATTAATAATTCGTTATAATAGAAAAACCAAACCGAATAACCCGAATGAGAAATTATAATCGAACGGAAAAACCCAAAAACCGAATAACACGAAATTCATTTATTTCCGATGTGTTATTTGGTTTCGGTTTTTTCTGATACCCCTACTTTGATTTCACGTTCTAGAAAAAGTAAACAAAATGCGTAAAAACGACGAACTTCACAAAATGTACCTTGTAAACCGGACCAAACCCGCCTTCCCCGATCTTGTTTTCAACGAAGAAATTCTTGGTGGCCGCTTCGATCGTGGCGAGATCAAATTGTAAAGAATGTACCGATCCCATTCCCATTTCAACTATATAACAAGAATACAATTGAGTCAGTATATCACACTCAAAAGTAGAGTTTGTAAATGGATGTATGCAAACGTACCTGATCCAGCTTCTGTTAAATTAGCACTATGCTTTTGATTTTCGGTCATTAATAGCGACGAAAATGCGTTTCCGGTCTCTTTTTTCGTAACGTCACTCTTTCGTTTTTTTGCAACAAAAAACCAAAAGCTGATAGCGATTAGCCCAATAGAAACACATGCAGCGGAAACGATGATAGGAATTATTTTTGACGCGTTTCGCTTTCGTCCTGCATGCATGAAGATCGTTACTTGTCAAAACAGAAATGTTTAAACGTACTTTCATTTAGTTTCTATTTTTATAATACATACATTAAAACGACATATTTAAAGGTATACGGTTTGGATTTTTTTTGTAACGATCTATAGTTTGAAAAATGTTTATTTATAGAGCGTACTTTAAAAAACTTAGGAGATAATTTGGTTAGAGGTATTAGGCAGTAATCAGTGTGATTTTACATAACCATTCAATGTAAAGATGTGCAGCTGATATGGCCCGTGGGTCACGACCTCAGGTTGCAGCAAGAGTCACATGAATCAATGTGATTTTATAGTAATTTTAGTATAAATTTACATGAGATTCGTCAGTTTTCTTATTTTCTTATTTGCTTACTGTTCTCGTATTAATCTGATTCTATAAAAATTTATCTCGGTTATCAAGAGTAAACGTTTTTTAAGTAATTAAAAAATGTAATAATTATATATTTATCAAACTGTATAAATATTTCATTAATAATCACCTTAAAACTTATTAAATTCGATTGTGCCTAAAGTTATTTGGATTTTGCCATCATTTTTATTAGTTCATTTACTTAAATACAATTTTTATTAAGATAGGTGTCAAATTCATTAAAAATATTCTAATAAAAAACAAAACCATGTGGTTGTTTGCATGAAATTATATAGTTTTTTTTACTATATTTATATTATCCTTTATATAATATTGTAATAAAATCAATTAATTAATTAAACGCTATTAAATCGTCTTAATCCGCCGGCTTAACAAAATAATCATAATTAAAAAACTAAAAAAATACTGCGGTTTTCCGATGAATCCAAACCCGCTTTCTGCTGGATCAACCATTTCAACGGTCGGGTAAATGACCTAAGAGGTGTTTGTGATTGCTTATTTGAAACAACTTATGTTTTTTTACAGAAGTTTTTATCAACTTACTATAAGTTAGAATGATTTAACTTATTAAAAAACTCCTTGTTACTGGTTTGACAACGGTATAAACTGTTTATCCAGACTTTCAAAATGTTTATCACCAGTATCACACCAGAATAAGTCAATAAGTTGTTTTTTTAAGCAATCTCAAACACTTCCTTATAACTCTAAGGTAAAGTTAACACAATCTGTACCTGGAGATGGCGGAGATGGGGCGGAGATCGGCGGAGCACCACCGTCGTTGAGAAAATGTTCATTCGAATATCTTAAAAAGCAATTCGGTGTAAACACTCTTGCCGCCACTCTTCCACTACAGCAATCATGGATCCCAATAATCGTACCGTTTATACATTTATCACACTGATCTCTCGATAAATCCGGCGAACATTGCGAAACCCCGTAGATAGTGAGCAAATCCGGCCCCCAAGTTACATTTCCCGACGCAAATTTCCTAACGGAATCACCGCCGGCGGCCTCCGCTTGTAACCTAGTGGTCAGATTACTCAACGCCTTGTTGAACTCAGAAACGTCGGCAACCACCGCCGTGTTGGATAAATTTCCAGAAATCCAGTTATCAACAACTCCTAGAATTTTCCGATCTGAATAACGAACCATACAATCGGAGTACCAAACCGCCGCTTCCTTATGGTTGTGGCAGGTGCGTCGGAGTGACGGAATCGAGTTTTTGACGCAGTCCTCGCACGGATTCGGCCCGATATTGCCGCGGCAGAGCGCTGTGGCGGTGATGTTGCCGGCGGAGGAGTGGTAAAAGCCGCCGTGGTTTGCGACGTTACCTGGGAGGGAATTGAGGGCGGATTCGAGAGTTTGTTGGTAAGTGGTGGATGTGAAGTTTCCATTGTTTCTGCAAGCGTAGATGCCGAAATCTGGAGCTTGAGCTATGGCGAGATGAAGAGTATTGATGAGGAGTTGAAGAAGAAGAAGAAACAGAAATGGTTTTATGGATTTTGTTTCCATTTTGTTCACAGAAATGTGGGAGATTTTCTGATTTCTGAATCACATTTTTGGAAAGCCCATGCTTTATTGTTTGTATACAAGTCCTGTTGTTGTCAAATATATTGACTATCGTCGTATGGTAATAAGTATTTTTAAATATTTAGATAAATAATTTATACTAGTGTATGGTAATAAAGAGTTTTTGAAAAAGTTAAACTTTTTTAACTTATAATAAGTTGATAAAGACTTTTGTAGAAAAACATAAGTTGTTTCAAATAAGCAATCCCAAACACCCCCTATGAAATAACATCGAAATTTTACAGTAAAATATTGTGAAAATATAAATAATAACAAATCTTTACAACAAAACATTGTGAAAGTTCAGTATTATTTATATGGTCTTATGAGTCTCACCAAAACAATTTGGTCTCATGTAATCTCAATCATGTAATATGTACATAGTATTATATATATGATACCTTGTTTCCAGAACCTTCTAATTCATGAAATATTTGAGAAATCAATGCATCATGTGTTATTTCATATGATGTTTATCATCTATGATTAGAATTTAATGTAGTGATTAATAATATATTTGTTTCACAATATGTTTATTTCCACGTGTATTTGATTCGTAATATGAAACTTTTTTACTTATTTTTTTTGTTTCACAAACACGCTAAAAAGATTTAAAACCAAATACATGTGAAACAAACACATTATAAAACAAAATATGTGTTAATCACTATATTAAATTCTAGACATGGATGAAAAAAGATTGTATGAAATAACACATATTGGTTTTTAAACATCTCACGATTTAAAAAGTTCTCGAAATAAAATTTGTATATAGATTAAATGATTTTGAATAACAAGTAGATGGTAAATGGATCATATCAGTTCGATTTTTATTGAATCTGTACTGTCATTCAAGAATCTATCTATCCAATTTAAACATTAAGGGGACGTTTGGTTTGCAGATTCTGAAGAAAAATGATGGAATTAGAATGTTGAATTCCATTGATCAAATCTATTCTCTCGTTTTATTCATTCTTTTTCACGAAATTAATCTTCAAAATCCTACAAAATTCCACAAGTAAAGAAATTTAACATTCATTAGCAACTACATGGTATTTTGATGGAATGAAATTATTTATTTTCATATACCAAATATGTCATTAACCCAGTATACCCTAATCTCATAAAACTCAATATGACCATATTCGATCGCCGTCGATCTGAATCACCGCCGACTATCGCCATCTGAACCCCCGCCAACCATTGTCATCTGAACCACTATCGACTACCACCGATTTGAATCACCACCGACACTACCGATCTGAACCACCGTCGGCCACCAACGATCTAATCCTTCGTCGATCTGAACCACCGTCGATCTAAACCACTGTCGATCACCGCCATCTGAACCACCATGGACCACCACCAATCAGAACCATTGTTGACCATCATCATTTGAACCACCACGAACCTCCATCGATCTGAACCACCGCCAACTACTACCGATTTGAATCACCGCCAGGCACCGCCGATCTGAACCACTGCCGGCCATCACCTACCTGAACAACCACCGATCTAAACCACCACCAATTTGAACCACATCCAACCACCGCCACCTGAAGCACCACATACCACCATCGATCTAAACCATTGTCGATCGCTGACGATAACCACCGACGAACATCGTTAACCACCAACGATTTGAATAACCACCTATCTGAACCATCGCTGCCACCGTCGATCTAAGCCACGCTGACCACCTCCATCTAAACCACCGTTGATCACCATCGATCTGAACCACTGCCGACCATCGCCATCCGAACTACTACGGACCACCACCAATTTGGACCACCGTGCACCACCATTGATCTAAACAACCGCCGACTACCGTTGATTTATCAACGTCGTTTGGCTTATGGTTATATTTGGGTTGTGTATTTTATATTGTTTTACATATTAAATAATTATTTTATTAAAGTATTTTTAGTTTTAAAAAAATTAAAATTTTTCAAAAAATGACATTTTGGTCATTTACCAATATTTCATATCAATTCCAAAGTTACATTCTGTGAACCAAACAGACATGTTCTAATTTCTTAACAGATTCCATTCCAATATCTGCCAACCAAACAAGTAGTCAAACCTAACAACATTTCATTCCAATTTCTTCAAAAGTCAAATTCCTTTAATAGATTCTATTCACATTCAAAAACATTATGTGAACCAAACATCATCTAAAAGATTTAATACGATTATAGTCGGTTAATTGTAATTCGATAGATGGTTTAATTTAATTCTAATGGATTAAAAAACTATAATCAATAATTGCAATTAGAATATTAAATGAACTTTGGATTATATGTCCAACTCCATATGTATACTTTATTTATTCTTTTCTTTTTATATTTTTATTTTAAAATAATCGATTATTTAAATTTCAAATATGATATCACTTCAAATTTAGGCCTTGTTTGTTTTTTCAGTTTCAGCTCTTAATTATCATTTATATATTAGAAGCTTTATAATTTAGACTGTTTTTTTTCTTTCCAGAACCACTTATTTCTTGAATTACTACGAAAAATAAGTGTCTTTGACCTTTGGTCAAACCCATGTTTATTTCATTTTTTAATAAAAAAATTATTATAATACTTTTATTTCATTAATTGGATTGATCTTACCAAGATGAATAACTTTACCTTTTTGACTATGGGTTTTTATTTTAAACCCACCAAATGCGAATTTTAATATCTAAAAAAATTTGATTACGACAATTCTAACATAAATATAGTAAAAAAAAAACCCGAAACCGATGGTAAAAACCGAAAGCCAAAATTTTCGGGTTAGGTTCGGGGTTAGGGATGGTGATCATCGGCCCGGCCCGATATGTGTATATATAAAAGAAAATACTAACATTAGAATTTAAAAGACTTTTATCTATTTTAGCTCAAAACCACAAATAAGGCTTACGAAAAAGTCTATTTTATTTGTCTAATAATGAAATCGTGATGTTGGTTGTATGATGTTTGAATTGTTGTTTACTTTTATATTGTAATCTAAGATGTTGTTTGTAATTGGTTTGATTATTTTTGAGACATTTAGACTTACATCTTAAAAAAAATTGTAATTTACTTTTAGTTGTGAAAATTAACATATTGTAATTTATTTTAGATCGGTTCAGGTTTCAGGTTCGGATATAACAAATAATGAACGGGGGAACCAACAGTAAAAGGGGGATTTTTACCCTTAACGGGTTCCTCAACGGGGATCGGGGAAACCGCAGGGATCCGATGGGGATCCCCGATAAGCGGGATCGGGGCGGTTATCGGGACGATTTCAGTTATCTGTTTCGGAGACAGGGATACCAATAAACCGACCCGAACCTAGCTCGTTGTCATTCCTATTCTAACGAGACCTATGTTAAAACCCCTGTATCCAAGAATACCAATGTAATAGAGTATTTTTTTTTTTCTGATATAGAAGGGGGGGGGGACCCCTTTTATCAAGAGAAAAAAAACCAAAAACATTAACTCAGACATAGCTCCCTTCTTTTTGGGTGTGAATCAATATCTAATTGTGGGTATGAAAGTGATTTGCGGTAATCAAAGACTAACAGATTAAGCACTCAGGTGGAGGCGAACCACATTCACCAGAAAAGAAACCAAGGCTCCTAAATGAAAAGAAATGAAGAAAAAAGGGAGATAGCAGAGAGGAACCAACCACTGGGGGAGGTTCTAGGCAAGCCGCGTCCCATATTGTTTGGCTCATTAGAAGAACATAGTATTTCAAAATCATCATTTGCAACTCATCAAATTTTGGACTCACGTAAAAGTCCAGGGTATTTCTAATAAGAACTTTTTTTGCGAGTCCCATATATTTTTTTTCAAAAAAAATAAATTATTATTACATATTTATAAATAAATACATAAAAAAGATAGCAAATTGTCATTTTATACCATTTCAAGGTAAGAACTAAGGTTCTTGTTCAAGAACTCAAAAGGGTGATATTCTTATAAGAACCGTATACTTTTTGCTTATAAGAACCGTATACTTTTTGCTTATAAGAACCTTTCATTGGAGATGCTCAAACGGTTGAGGTTACCCCTCGAGGGAAGGGGGGTCAAGATCGAACCTGAGACTTGTCTTATATTTGACCAAAATCATCTCGCTCATTTGCCAATTAATCGCTACACACCGAAGGCTCATGAATTTTAATATTTGTATGGGTAAATTAAAAAATTGTTTTGCATGTAATAAAATAAAATCGTATTCGTGCAATACATACATCGCGATATATCTTAATTCTACAGACGAGAATACGAATATTCAATCTAGATTCATGCTCCGTTTTATTCTCTATTACTCTCAGTTTTATGGTTTTGCATGGTTCAGATAAGGTGATAGAAGCTGTGTGCTTGCAATAATAAGCTGTAAACTTGAATTTCAGAAGATTTTTTAACACATGGGTTCATTGTTTTATAATATGGTAAATATATTAGTATGAACATATACTTGCATATAAATGTATAGTGATCGGATTTTTGAAAATATGACTAAATAACTGAAAATGACAAATTGCATGAAAAAGTAATGTACTTTAACTTGATTCATATTTTGGGTAATGTACTTTCAAAACTTCTATTTTGGTATCTGAAAATGTAAAGTTTTAAAATTTTAAGTATTCAGGTAACCATTTCAGGTAAGTGTTTGGTAAACAGCCCCCAACTCGCATATATCTTCATGCATCTATTCAACTTTTTTTTTTAACATGTATGATGTGTATAACCATAATGTTATAAAAATATTCAAATCTGTATACAACAACAAAGTTCTTTGTTTCAGAGAAAAAAACCGCTCCCCTCACTACAATAAAAATAAAATTGAGTTTAAAAGACTCCAACAGTGTATAAGTATCTTAATAAATTGTTTTATAGGACCAAACAATAAAATGTTATATCTAAAAACGTTGTAATAAGTTTATAAGACGTTTTTGAACGTTTTAACAAGTTTTTTTTAAGACATCTTTAAAATAAAACATCGTATCAGTTAAGTTTATAAGACACTTTTGAGAAGTGTCTTATAAACACATGTTTTATAGGATACTTGTTTTTATAAGACATTTTTTCAAATAGAGATTCGATAAAATAGCTAATACAACACTTTAATTTAAAAAAACTTGTTAAGACGTCTGAAAGAATCATATAAACTTATAACAACACTTTTAGAATGAACATGTATAGTTTGGTCTAATAAAACAGTCTATAAAGACACCCATATATTCTTGGCGTCCTATAAATCCAATTTTGTTGAAGTGCCTCGTTTTGAGCAGATGATAAGTCGGTCTACATCCACCTCAGACCTTTTTCGAGTGAGATATATACTGGGTTTGTTTGGTTTATCACCGTGGATATATTTCAGTGATAAACGATTCGTCTGTTGATCTAGAAACGGACGTGTGGCTTGATAAAACGGGCGTTTTCGGAAGATAATGAGGAGGTGTTGTGGGAGATGGAAGAATGATGGAATGATTGTTGAGAAGGTTCAAAACATTAGCCATATAAGGCCTAGCATCCACATCTTCTTGCACACATAGTAATCCAATATTGATGCATCTCATGACTTCATCTTTACAGCAAGTTTCAACCAATGTTGGATCCAAAAGCTCCATTGCTGTTCCTTCTATCCATTTTCTCCAAGCCTTCAAGGGACATAATCTAAGTATAAATATATGGGTAAATTGCAGAAACAATCAATGTACTCTTTAACAATTACAGTAAAATTAGGTTTATAGGATGTCAAAACTGTGCAAGTGTTCTGATAGACTGTTTTATAGGACATGAGTTTATAAGACCACATGTTAAAGTTTCCTAGGTGAAGGTGTTGCAATAGATTTATAGGACGGTTTGAGCGTCTTAACAAGTTTTTTAAAACACTTTTATTAGCTTTTTTATAGGACACTATTTGAAAAAGCGTCTTATAAAAACAAGTTTTCTATAAAAAGATGTGTTTATAGGACAATCCTCAAAAGTGTCATGCGAAATAGCTAATACGACGTTTTATTTAAAAGTGTCCTAAAAAACTTGTTAAGACGTCCAAAAACGTCATATAAACCAATTGCCACACCTTTATATATGACACTTTAACGTTTTGTCCTATAAACTTATGTCATATTAAACAGTCTATTAGGACACTTACACAATTTTGACGTCCTATAAACCTAATTTTGTTATAATGGAAATAAATAACAGTTATGTGTACATTCCACTCTAGAAAAACCGTAAGATTAGTACTTACAAAATGCGGAAGATCCTCAAAATTATCCTCATTGTAAAAGCATGAACTTTTCTTCCCCATGATGATCTCCAGAACAACTACGCCAAATGCAAACACATCCGATTTCACGGAAAAATGTCCATGCAGCGCATACTCAGGGGACATGTAACCGCTGCAAAAACATTCATGTTTTAACTTGACTATACGTACAAAGAACCAAATCTTTATGATGACAAAAACCCATCGATAATAGTGAAGACGTATCCCTAAAGTTATTTATTTCACATAAAATGAACTTGCAAAGCTTATTCAAGCGACGCAAGCAAGCTTAAAAATGCATCTTATTCCTCAAATTGACACAATTGACTTTTTCTAAGCAAACCGCTTTGACTTTCTCCCAACGTCATACCGCGATTTTACCGATCCCGATTCACCTCAAAACTGCACCCATTCAAAGAAATTCCTGGGCTCACCACTTGCTAAAGCTATGGGGACTACGTGTAAACCAATATATCATTTTATTTGACCATCACACATAATAACAGGGTTTTTAGACCCCACCTTACGTAGGATTTCCTGGGTTTGTTTGGTTTGGTTTTTAGACCGTATTGTTGTATCAATAGGGGGAAAAAGAGGGAGTTCAAGACTTACTATGTTCCGACAATTCTTTTGGTGTTTGCTTGAATTTGATCCGCTCCAACAATCCTTGCAAGACCAAAATCAGAAATCTTAGCGTTCATATCCAAATCGAGCAAGATATTGCTAGCTTTTAGATCACGATGGATGATTCTTAGCCGCGAATCTTCATGTAAATAAACCATTCCTCTAGTAACCCCTCCAATGATTTTGTAGCGTCTCGGCCAATCTAAGTGCCCATGTCTATTTGGATCTACACCGAAAAAAGAACATTAAATTTCATGCTTAACCAAATTCATGTAATGAACTTTAAAAGCAATTTGAATTTTCGTGCTTCTAAATACCAAAGAGAAAGTAGTCAAGACTTTTGTGGGATACGTATTCATAGATGAGTAGTTTTTCGTCTGCGTCAAGGCAAAACCCTAAAAGCCTCACGAGATTCCTATGTTGAAGCTTCGCCATCAAAATGACTTCATTTACAAACTCCTGTGAGCCTTGTCCAGATGATTTTGATAGTCTCTTTACGGCGACCTCCACTCCGTTGACTAGAACACCCTGCAAAATATGTGACGTTGGTTAGGGCTTTGCGTTTATGTCATATGAGGCAGGTTCGTACATATTATAAGAATCATATTTTCATCAATTATTCACGATGAACATCATGATGCATATCATGAATAACAAGAATGCATGATATTTATAATGAATATATTTGATTACGTATATTCATCATGAATTATTTATGCACAGTTAGTTCTCAAAATCTTCAAAATATTTACAGCTACGAACTTTCCCCATGTTCATATATATATATATATATATATATATATATATATATATATATATATATATATATATATATATATATA